TCTCTCTCTCTCTCTCTCTCTCTCTCTCTCTCTCTCTCTCTTTCTCTTTCTGTGTGTGTTACCAAGACTCAAGAGTGTTTTATGTTCTACTCAGGAAAGGCCTACAAAGTCTTATAGGCTGAGCTCTTCGCTCATCTATCAGGAACATGTGCTCTCCCACTCTACAGTGCTCGGGGTTCTTCTTCAGCAGTGCACGACTGTATTTGCACTCTAGCACTAAACCACTCCATCCCAATCCGCATGGTTTGTGGGTCTCACACTGGGACAGTCCCATTTCTACTTTCTCATCCTCTTACCAGCTGGTTGGAGACATCTGTCTCTCCATTTTCTGATCTCCAGATGCCAAGGAGTCTGCTGAGTCCAGCTCATGTTTGGTCCAAATGATGAGTTGAAATGTATGCTTGTGGGCCAGGGGATCCAATCAGCTGTGATTTGAGTGCTAGATTCAGAGGAGCTGCCTATGGGAGGGCAGTGGGCTGTTGGTAAAGATTGCCCAAAGGACAGAGAATGCGGGCCACCTTTCATCGTGAATGTGCAAGGAGACCCCCATGAGTTCCTGATTATACTTGATTGTTCCAGAAATACTTTATACTTGAGAAATGAGCTTCATCCTGCTCCATGGTATTTCTGTAGGAATTCACCCTGAAGCAAAGATGTCCTAGACAATGTGCTAGAGAATGCCAAGTACATATTTTACTTTTCTTTTTTTTAAGTTTTTTTATCATTAATAAATTCTCCATTCACTTTACATACCAACCACAGATCCTACCTATCCCCTCCTCCCACCCCCAGCATTCCCCCCCAACCCAACCCCCATCTCCACATTTCCCAAGTCAAGGTCTCCCATGGGGAATTAGCAGAGTCTGGCACATTCAGCTGAGGCAGGTCCAATACCCCACCACCACCACCCCTACCCCCGCCGCACCAAGGCTGTGCAAGGTGTCACACCCTAGGCACTGGGCTCCAAAAAGTCCACCCATGCACCAGGGATGGATCTGGATCCCCCTGCCTGGGGGTCCACCCAGACAGTTCAAGCTAAACAACTGTCTCCTGTATCCAGACGGCCTAGTCCAGTCTTATGGGGGCTCCACAGCTATTAGGCCACAGTTCATGGGTTTCCACTAGTGTGGCTGGTCATCTCTGCTCGTATTACCTTTACCATTCAGTAAACAACATCCCCTGCTAAATGAGGAGCTTAAAGCACATCGTTCCTGGGGTATGAAGATAGGAAGATCATTACAAAAAGTGGGAGACGGAATAACTTTGTACTTTACCATCATTTCTCTGTTCTCTCCAGACTTGAGGGCAGAATCCTCTGGTTGAATCTTTCTGAAACCATATAGGTTGAGCTGGTGAATAACTCTTCAAGCTTTCCATTTCAAAAATCTTCCCTGTGCCCCTGCAGTGAAGGACCTCTCTCTGAAACAGGTCTACCTCAGTCATGACGCTTTCTCCATCATCACTCCAGTTCACAGACTGGAAGACCTCCTTCTGTGCTATGGTCCATAGCTTTCTGGCAAAGGGAGGACTGAGGAGGTTGGTGTTATCTTCCTTGTTGGTTGTACATTGGCTTTGGTCTTGAGGTTCGAGGCTCTCTTGGACAGCTTGACCTTGTGTCCCGACTCAGTCACCTTACCTCAACAAACTTTCTCTTAAATGCACCCATGTCTCAGAAGAAGAATTAGATGAGGTCTCTCTTCCTGGCTCTTGCCCAACAGGTACGTGCAACTTGGTGGCACAGTCCACACCTATACTCTGACTGGCCATCAGGCATATTCTGGACTGCAGACCACTAAACATCCCCCAAGATAGTCTGAGCTGCCTTTGCTTCCACTAAGGATGCCCAACAAATAGTGGCCACTCAGTTCTAGCATCCGTAGTGTGGCAATCATCTGCTAAAGTCATCATTCTCTTTGTTTGTCACATGATGTCACAAGGTGGCTCACAGCCAGTCTGGAGAAGGAGTTCTGTCTCAGTGTTAGGGGAGTTTTCAAAAAAGGTATAAAATTGTCCATATTTCCAGAATAGTCTCCTGTGTCCTGGCAGGCACATTTGGCCCACTCTGCATCAGTTGAGAAACAGATACCATTTCTTTGCCACTCCTCAAGGTGAGAGTGCAGGGGGCTGTTTCCTAGATTCCCTACTTTGCTCAGGGGCTGCCCTGCAGTTAGTCCAAGCTTCGGCAATACCAAGACTGCTCAGGTAAGAAAGGCTGCTAAATGACTGGACCTCCAAAGCAGCTTTTCCCTTCTATTTGTCCCACCACACACCCCTATCTTGGTCTTGCATTGGTCTCTTGCAACTGCTCCTGCTGGCTGTTTGTGTTGTGTCTGTTCACATAGGTCCCAATAGGAATGTGTTTCACTACATCTTGATCAGCTTGTCCCCTGAGTAGTGCTGTGCCCAAGTAGGACATGTGGGTGTACTAAATTTTAAACACTGTTATGTGATTAAAATGTCACATGTACTTTGAATTTCCATGTGCACCCAGGCTTGCCACCAAATCTCCTTGTTCTGTGATCACAACAATACTGCCTCTTCCATCTCAGAGAGAGAATACACTCTCTTCCATCTATCTCTTCTCCAAATATGACATTTTTATGTTCCAAGACACACTCAATTTTGAGGTCCAATATAACCAGATTCTATCCCCAGGAAAGACCATACTTGTTTAGCTATATGTGACTATAGTAATTCAAACTTGAAAGGGACCAGGATGTATCTGTTGATCAGATGAGTGTCTCTGTGTGAGGTAGGGTGTAAGGCTCAACTGAAACTCACCTTCCACATCAGATGAGACACACAATGGAGCCACCTTGTCTCAAAATTGGTTTAATAAAAAGCTGATTGGCTGGTAGCCAAGCAGGAATTATAGGTGGGACAACCAAACTAGGAGAATGAGGGGAAGAAAAAAGGCAGAGTGTAGTGTGGTATTTGCTCCACCCATGACCTTGGGCTATATGGCCCAAAGGAGGTGGTGTAAATACCACTATTTATAGTTTTCCTCTGTCCATGACAGCCCACTGTCCATTTGCCTGGCTGCTGGATCCTGCACACACCACTGGCTGCTTCAATTGGTAAGTCCCCCACTTTTCAGCCACTGTAAATAGTTTCCAGCATTCGTGGGGATGACTGATGAATGCCCAGTGCCCCACTGGTGTCCCTGAGACTAGGGGTACCCCCGACCATCATCTTCACTGACAACGGCCAGTCCCTATCACAGGCTTAAATATCCAGCCATCTTTGGCCCCCACCTTACATCTGAAGAGACGCCTGGTGGCCTGTGCCTATTTACACATCCATCCTTGGTCTTAGGGACAACTGGGGACTTGGCTTGGTATCACATTTTTGGGGGGGTTTCTTTTGTTTTTTACCTCTCTGCTGCAGCCATGGAAAATAAGGCTTCCAATCCCATCAGTCCCACCTCTCTCCAAGGATGCCTTCTGGAAGCTTTAGAACCTCTCAGCTTAATGCCTTGATTAAAGATTCCTAACCTTGTCCACCTCAGTACTAAGAGATGGCCCAAATATGCCTTAGAAAATAACAAAATGGCTGCTGAGTGGTTCCTTAGACCCCAATATTTTATGGGAATTATCTAACTTCTGCCAGCGAACAGGCAAATGGAAGGAGTTGCCTTATATTTTAGCTTTTTTCTATCAAAGTTCTAAACCTTCTTTTCTTGACTCCTTCTTTCTTGTCCATATGCTCTTAGCTATGCC